TCAGCTGAGTTTGTGAATAACCTGGTGGCTGTGCTCAATGTCCTTGCATCCCAAGTGGCGACAGCTTTGGACACCCTGAACTTTGCCTTGATGACGGAGCGTGGTCGTCCGACTGACACGGTGGTCACCCCAAGAGCACCAAGAAACTCCAGACATGGGTTGCGGCCCCGCATCATCACGGAGCACCCCTCATCTGACAGATCTCGATCACCCGCACGCATTCGGGGTCGACCGCTGGACACGTCATCTACCTGGTACATACCGGCTTTGTCCCCGCCTCGAGCGGCACATCGTGATGCTAGTGACCACAATCCGGGAGCTCGGCCCGAATCGATGTTGGATCGACTACCACCTCCTCGTCCCCTTGCTCCTATCGCGATACACGGTGGACGAGAGCCAGGACAAACGACGCCTACGACACCTGATTCGGATTCTGATGGTTCGATACGTCCGCATCCAGGTGCCTCGTCGTTCCGGCCGTCGCCGACGGTGGTCCATGGTCCTCGTGAACTTCTACAAGAATTTACCATTGCACTTCGCAATGCGTACCGTGAACCTTTCACGGCATGGACACAGGGTGAGCTGGATGAAATGGTGAGACGGAAGAAGGATAAAGATTCCAGGCCCACCTATAAGACCATTGCGCGGTTTCTTCAGAAGCCGATTGAGGAAGTCAAGCAGGCATGGAAGGTCTATCAACAACTTGAAGCTCGCGGCTAGCAACATGCCCGACAAATGCAGCAACGACCATTGATGGACCAAATGATACGCAGCGGCGGTGCGTCCGATTCGCGTTGTTGATCACATGATATTTGCTTGCTCGCATGTGACTCAATCTTGCTTGTCGTGTTGTGCAATGTCGTTGACATGCAGTGATGTCTTGCCTGAGTTGCTCAAATCATGTCGGAACAAGTTGTACAGACGTACATTACCTGGACCTATGGAGCGCAGCCGACGTGGTTACAATTTCATGGACCCGGGGCTCTACTCGACAGACCCATACGGTTAACTACGTCACCTCCGCCCCCGCCAAGTTTGCCATTGCTTCTTCCACCTCCTCCTCCACCACCACCACCACCACCGGTGATTCTTCACCCACAGTTTATGCCCTCGGTACGCAGCCCCACGATCTCAGCCCCTCGTGGACAATCCTGCTCTACCTCTTCGAAATCGCAGCGCACACGCCGCTCGATCCACAGCAGTGACCCCTCCCGTGATGAAGAACCACGCAGTCCAGGGCCCTCGTCCAAACGATCTCGGACAGCATCAGCTTCGGCGCCGCGGCGATCTCGACGGCCCTTTACAGTGTTTTATTCCAAACGTGCAGGCCGTCCATCGCAATCCCCCTCGGCGGCGTGCAAGCATTACTGTCACGCCATCCTGCGCCATGGACGGAAATGTCTTTCCCCTTGTGCTCGTAGACGGCCAGGTCACTATCATTGCAGGTGTGCGCGACATCAACGACAGTGAAAGCTAGGAGTCTGACATTTCCGACCTCGTTGCTGCGTTTCATCTTGTGTTTGAAAAGTTGCCTCACTCTTCAGTGTGTATGTGCGGTTGGCAATGCATGTGTGTCCTTGCCGCAGACTTTCGATTGGTTCAACAGTCGTGCAAGCACGTATTGCTGCTATGAACCCCCAGTATTTCGAGTACCAGATCGATAGAGGAGTGGAATGGATTCGAATTTACTCTCCGGGCATTTGGAGGCCCGTTCCCGATGAGGCGCCTGTTCCTGACCCACTGTACGCTTCCACGTATCGGGAGTGGCGCAGATCATATCACTTCCAAGTGTACTGGTCTGAAGACAGCACCGGTGGAACTACAATGGATCCTATAGCCACGCCCAGTGCCTATGTGTCCTACCACGTGTGGGAGTACCGGGACTGGCAAACACGAGGTTATCAACGCCTTGGACCTCCTGTACAATCCATGGGATTCGCGATGCTCGTCAATGCGGACGTCGAGTCCTCGGTGGGCTCGTCGGTACCGGATGGGGCGTGGCGGGAACCGTCACCGCCGCCATTCCATGATCCTTGGAATGAGTCGGATTGATTCTTGAGCAGCATGTTGGACAAAGATGCGGTTGTGCTTGCTTTGTATGTGTGCTCACATTGGGTTGTCTTGCTTGGTGCTGTGCATGTCGTTTCAGGGTGTCCGCCGCTTTCCGTGCTACCTTTGAGCAGCTTGTTGGGTTGAAATGTTCAATAGTACAGTGCAGGGTGCAGCACGATGGGTCCTACCTCGTTATTTTGACTATGACATCGTTCATAGTCGAGCAGGAACGAGTGTGGAATGGATTCGAATCTATGTTCCGGGTCAGTGGCATCCAGTGGCCCCAGACACCCTGGGACCGGCCCCGGATGACTCGACCACCTATCGGGAATGGCGCAAGGTCCACCACTTCGAAGTGTACTGGCCCCGGGAAAGCACGGGCGGCACAACCACAGGCACGGTTCTGCAACCGGTATCTTACGCCACCTTCTACACTTGGTATTACAGGGACTGGGTCACCAGGGGGTATCAACGCCTGGGTCGTCCACATCCTAGCATAGCGAGGCCAGTTTTTGCTTCGGGCGCACCGGACCTCATGTATGCTGGAATGACTTCCTCCTCGGCATCATCTGATCAGACGCTTGGTCGAGTTCG